GAGCTACTGAAGCCTTCAAAAGGCTACTGAGCCTTTTGGCTACTGAAGCCTTCAAAAGTCTTGAATTAAGATATTCATGCTAAAAAAATTTCCAAAATTCACCACAATTCACACAAAGCCTCTAGCGACTGAGGACATAACTGTCCCTGGAATACAGTGGGTTAAAACTCCAAAATACACACATTCACATAAACACAAAATATTATGTTGTTTCTGTTTTTCAGAATTCAGAATATATTCTTCATTTTTTCCCCATGGCATTTTTAGTTGAAACCATTAAAGAAATTCTCCATTTATCAGGAACTAGGTTTTCAGAATAGTTTTTCAAAATAAAAAGTGTGATGTGAAAATTTTTAAAAAATTGAAAGAGAGCACCTTTTTTTTTTTTTTGCTAAATTTTTCATTTCATTTCTGAAAAGAGGTCATTTTCCAAAGAAAAAAATTTCTCCTACAAAAAATCAGCTCTACCTTGGAAAAATATTGGGTTGGTATCACTTCCATAACTTACTTCATGCATAGCTCTGAGATTGTTTTACTGGGGTGGGAGAGTGAGTTAGGTAATAAGGACTGTGAGATATAAGTTTTCCTAAACAATACAGAAAAACCTATGAGTGGGTGATGTATGTTAATGATTGTCCTATATTTGGTATTAATTTTTACATTAAAAATTAGAGTTGAAATCTGCATATTTGTGTCTGTTGGTGTATGTCAGTGGTTCTCAAACTTTTGTACTGGTGACCCCTTTCACATAGCAAGCCTTTGAGTGTCACCCCCTAATAAATTAAAAACTTTTTAAATATATTTAACACCATTATAAATGATGGAGGCAAAGCGAGGTTTGGGGTGGAGGCTGACAGCTCGCAACCCCCCATGTAATAACCTCAGGACCCCCTGAGGAGTCCTGACCCCCAGTTTGAGAACCCCTGGCGTATGTTATGTATGGCTGGAATTAAGGCTGCTGTTAGTTGTTCAGAATGATGTGGGTTGTGGGTGGATAGAGATAATAGAAGATAAGAAGGGAAACTGATGAGTAAAGCATAGGTTGGGCATTGAATAACTGTGCTTATTTCCTTGGTTTTTAGAGTATGCATTGGAAAGCTGTGCAGTGTAGCAACCTTACCTCAAAGTTAAAGATTTTTTGTGCCAAGGCCCCATTAAATTATATAATCAACATGGGTAGCAATCAATAAATATATGTATTATATACTCCATATGCCCCCTTGCAGAGTGCCAGTGTCCAACATCCCTGCATACATTTGTCCCCTTTAGCTCCTCAACTGCACCACTCCACTTGGGCAAACCATGAAGTGCAGTTTCTGCCTCTGCCACCTAAGATGTACGGAAGTCAGAGCAGAAACACCACTCCTGAAAACATACATGTATATAGTATCAGTAGATCAGTAGTCTGCTAGCAGTAGATCAGTAGTCTCAATATCTTGTAAAATGAGATACCATATATGCATATTTGCAGGAGCAAGGCCTAAGAACGTGATAATGATCTCTGTGAGGGAAAGTCACAAAAGAGAAGGAATCCTGAAAGGAAGTGGAATTAATTTTCTTCCCAGACAAAGTTCACTAGATGCATTTTACACAATTACTCATTTTGAAAATCAGTTTTATTAGGAGGCTGGAAGGGGGTTGGGGAGGGAAGGGTTGTTTGTTTTACATTGATGGCATTTTTTTATTTGCAGGCAACGAGTTACATTTGAATCGATTTTAATCATTTAAGGGACTAATGATCTATGGTTGGATGATAACTGTGACAAATTGTAAATATTTAACAGCATAATAATCAGAAAAACTTGCATGTTTGCTGGTTGAGAACTATACCCTCCTTCACTTTCCTTTTTAATAAAAAATTAACCCCTTCTTCTCCACTGAGCTCCATGCAGTTGCAGAGGCCTAAAATCTGAAGGCTGCTTGTGATGCCAACGTGAAGGGGTGTGGGGGAAAAGAAAACAGTTCTCAAATCTCAGTCAGTCATTAAACTTAAGATATATAGACAGGCCAACAAACAGGAATTACATTGAAAATAGATGTCCAGACTACTCATCCAAATTTCCAGCACGGTTTGTTTTTTAAATGTTGACACAGAAAAGGAAATTGAAGACAACCAAGTGTGTGCTTTTAAGCAAGTACATTATATAAATAATGCTTATTAGGAACCCCATCACCCTTTGAACACCTTGCATAAATGAAGGCCTTATCCTGCAAATCCTCTAAGTGCAGGCCTCTTATCTACTTCACAGGGAATTCCATGCTTGTAGGGCTTGCAGTTTTGGGTCCAAATCCTGTTGGCCTCTCTCAAATGAACAGTCCCCATTAAAATCAAGGAAAGCAAGATTTGGTGTCAAGTAATACCAATAAAAAAAAGGAAATAAACAAAACAGAAACCCTAAAAATACAGAGGAATGGATATATAGACATATATAGTACAATTGTCCCACCCCTACTCTGAGGTATGAGATGGATAGAGCTAGAGGAATAGCTCAGGCTCATTCATGCCAGCTCCCTCTCCAGAACAGAGCAGTGAGGGGAGCAGAGGGGTTTTACGCGATCTCACCCAGAGAGTTTGTTGGGGGGGGATCCCCACCACCACTTTAAACGGGTGGACAATAGCACCTAAGGAGCGATGAAATCCCTTTTAACCAAGCCGCTCCCCAGCCCCACCCCAGCTCTCCTGATGGCTGCTCCAGAGTTGCAGAGGGGTGGAGACCACATTCCGCTGTACAGTGAGACCATCCTGCATCAGGATGAGCATCTGAAAGGCTAGCACCGGCGGCCACCCCACAGCCTCCTGAGTGGGGGAGGCTGGGGGAGTTAGGAGGCAGTTTTCCGCAGTGAGCAGCAGCCCGGGAGATGAATGCAGCAGGGTGGATCCCCCCAGCTCTGTTCACGGCGGTGCTGGAGGTGGCAGCGCAACTTACTGCACCCCACCCAACAGGGCCGGGGGTCCCGGCGCCGGGTCCAGCTCGCAGTGGGTAGAAGGGTGGGCGGGGAAGGGGGGCCCCACTCGCAATGGGCTACAGACGGGGAAGCGGGGGTAGATAGGGACAGCCTGGCACACAGCCCAGTCGTGCCCACCCTCCAGGGCGGTACTTGGTACCCACTCGCCCCACACCATCAAAGGCTCCGTGCCCAGCAGCGGCATCCTTCGCCCCCTACCTCCCCGGCTCATTCACCCCGCCCCAAGGTGCTCACCAGCGCCGCAGCGGAGCCAGCTACCCGCCGGGATTCCTACACGCTCCCTGGGACGCTGCCCCCGGAGGAACCTGCCGCTGCGGCTACAGCGCCGTCTGGATGCAGCCGGGGAGCAGGCGGCGCCGCACCGCCCAGTGTCTGTACCTAGAGGCCGGCTCGGGCCCCGCCCATGCTCTCCAGCTGTCACTGCCGACCCGCCTCCGGGAGGCGGAGAGCGCCGCTCCCCCCACGGTGCCCGCCCCTGCCACGGCCCCTCCAGTCCCTTCGCAGCCCACCGACTCCCTCTACAACGCCGGCCACCTGGCTGCTGGGCTTTGCCCGCCTGGGCCCGGGGGAACGGCCGCGGCGGCTCCAGCGGGCGGGTGAGGAGGCGAGGCCGGGGCGGGGAGAGCAGCGGCTGCTGCAGTGGGCGGGCGAGCTGCGGCGGCCCGCCGGGGCTGGCCTAGCTCATGGGGCAAGACGCGTGGGGTGCAGAGTTACCC